TCAAATGCCTCCACCACTTTAATAAAGCCTAGTCTTTGGTTTTCCACGCCCTATAGCACCCAAAATAACCTAGACCCTTGCTCTTGCATTTACTAAGACCAAAGGGCTTGAATCAAGATCATTTATGGTGATCTTCAAGCTAGATATGATCTTCACACCTGCTGCCCGAGATACTGATTAGAATCCAGCTTGTCTTGCATGAACACTTGGAGCTCAATATTGCTTGAGTTCGGAGAGGACTTTCATGCTCTTTGAACATGCATCTCTTTTAAGGAAATTTATAACAAGTAGATAGGCTAGCTAGTCCGTTGCCGACCTTAATTATAGGTTCAAGTTGTTTATTATTAATCTATCTATATGCAACAGTAAAACATATGCATTTTATAGGAAGATCTACCTTATGGTACGTAGCTATAGCTATAGCCATGTGTATTGCTTGAAGCTAATTATATTTTGAATTGTTAAAAGCTTCGTTCCCCTGCAAAACACAAAAAATAATAATCAAAATCCCTTGCGGCTGTTTGGAAAGCTCGGAGTCGAATTCAATTTCAAGATTTAAATTAATTTTTTAGTTTTTAACATTTTCAATAGTATTGATTTGAATTTTTTTTAAGTGAATTTCTATTAGAATTAACATTAAAAATAATATTTTAAAAATAGCAAATCCTCCATCGTCTTTCTCAAACCCCCACTGCTCCTAGTTTGGATCTTAAATTGCTCAATCATTAGAAGATTGAATGTTTGCATCTCCTTCCTTCGACTGTTTCACCACTCTACAGTACATCTCTCTCTCTATTTTTCTTGGGTGAAAGATGCTTGGTTGCATCTTTAGATCCAAAGTAAGTACAATGTGTTGCGTCATTGTGTCAAAATAAAATAAAACATGTTGTTGACAATTCATTGATCCTTCACTGCTATAAAATTCGTTCCTTTTTCTTTCTGTCACCATGCGTGGGGTAAAGAAGAAGTACAGCATAGAGGTAAAGGAACCCATCATGTCATGGGCAAGGAAAGAAATGAAGGGAAAAAAGGAACCAAAGAAAACAATAAGGCATGCCTACAAAAGGAACCAAAGAAAACAATAAGGCATGTCTACCTTCTTCTTCTTTTTTTAATTAAAAAGAAATTATTTAAGACTAAAATAATTAATATTATTAATTCAATTCATTTCTATAGTTATTTAAAATTATATATTTCAAATCAATAATTTAATTTTTTATTTTATTTTAAATATATATATTATAATAAGTTATAAATTGAATTTAAATTGTATGTTTTTTATTTGAAAATATATTAAAATAATATTTTTTTTATTTCAATACATTAAAATCAAGGTTGTCAATTTCGTTTTCAGTAGGTATTTTATTTTTTCAATTGAAATAAAATATTTCAGTTTCATAATATTCCAGTGTCCCATTTCGGGGTTATATATATAAGATAAATTAATTATAAATTATGCAATACAAACACTGTGTCAAATAAATATAATTTTAAAATTTAAAATATTTTTAAATAGTTAAGATTAAATAGATTTTTAACTTAAAATAATTCAACTTAAATAAAATATCAAAATATTATAAAAGTAAAATGTCTTAATACAAATATTTTAAATACAAAGCTAGATCAATGTTATCAAGACTAATGAGATTTAAACAATCCTTTTTTTTTGCTCAAATTCCTACAAAATATAAACTTGAAAAAAAAAACATGAATATAAGCCATATATATTAATGAGAAATATAATTTTAAAAATTAATATCATTGTTAATAAAAATAGTAACAATAATTTTCAATAGTATTATTAATATTATTATTATTGAAAATAATAATAAAAAAAAAGCTTTTTATACCTGGGTGGTTTAATTAATTAAATTGAATTAGGTTCAATTTGATTCAATAACTTTTCAAAATCGAAAAAAAACATGTGGAATGAAATCGAAACATTTTAATTAAAGTTTAGCCAAAAAATCTTAAACAAATCAAGATTTGAAATAAAATAAAAATTATAAGATAAAAATTATTCTATATTGTTATAATTTTTGAATTAGTATGAAATGTCACAACCATTTCAGATAAAACAAACTGATATCCTTGATGAAAATAATAAAAATATTAAAAAATAGTAATTTAATTTTTTAAAATAAAAATCTAGAAAGATGGAATACATCCGCACTCCAATCGATTAAACTAGAAACCAACAACAAAATGACCTCAGATTACAATGGCTGCTGGACCCAAAAAATGACGAAGCCAAGAAGAAGCAAAAGAAGTCAATTCTTCCATTGAAAAACAATGGAATCCAAACCGAATTGCCAGGAAAAAAACAAACCGAATTCAAATATATCATGCCTGGCTGAAGTTTCAACAAATTTCAAATTAAAAAACTAAACCGAATTCAAATAAAAAAAATAAATCAAATCCCAAAAAACCAAGCTATATAAAAATAAAATCATAACTAAACCAAATTAAATTAAATTAAATTAAACTAGTTTTTGTTTTAAAAAACCAAATAGAATCAAAACCGAACAATTTAAACCGATTTTAGCTTTTTTAAAAAATCTAATTTAATTATTTTATTTAATAAAAACCAAATCAAATAAAAAATCATTTTAATTTTATACTCGGATAAAGAGGTGTTGTTCTCTCAAATTACAAAGACGTTTGCTTATAGAGTGAAAGTGTAATGGGCTTCTACAAATATCTTTTCATGTTATTGCCGCAAATTTCTCCTAACACTACAGGGAGGAGGAGGAACATTCTAATCTTTCTGCAAATCTTGACCGGCAGCCTAAGCTGCCGCCTTGAACATCCTAAATTGAGCGTGTAAATGACATTGCCAAAAAATAGTCAGAAACAGGGTGCTGATATAAATAGTCAGAAACAACCAGCCCTTTATCGAACACTTGTTGTTATAGATGGAACTGGATAATAGTGCGGGTCTAGTTAAAAAAAAATTAACATAAGAAAAATTATTCAAATATTATTTTATTCTAGTGAAAAAAAATAATCTTATAAGGGTTTACTTGATGCCATCCAATTAATTTTATGGATTTAAAAATAACATATATAACTTATAAAAATAATATTTGACTAAATGTTTTTAAGATGATATATTTTTTAAATATTAAAATAACAACATATTAAATTGGAGGGGTCAACCTGAGATAATATGTTAAATTTATAATCTAATTTATAAGATTATGATAATTTTATATAAAAATTAAAATAAATTATGAAATTTAATTCTCAATTAACCTAATTTTGAAGGATAAATACAAAAAATAATAATTAAAAATAACCTTAAAAACAATCCAAGTTCACATGTCAAACTTGCAAACCGGGTTATAAGACCGAGATAGTCCTATAAAAAATAAATAAAAATAAATTATGAATTCTAATTCATAACCATACAAATATTTAATGATGAGATTAAGAAATAAAAAAATTAAAAAAAAACAACATAAAAAATAATTTAAATCAATTCACCAAACTCATGATCTAGGTTATCGGATCGAGATAATCTTATAAAAAAATAAAAAAATAACTTAATTTAACCGGAGTTAACATGTTAAATCTGCGACTTTAATTTTGAGATTGAGATAATGATATATAGAGAAAGTCAAAATAAATTATAATGCTTGATTCTCAATCTCTCATGTCAGATCTAATGTTGAATGATGAAATTTATAAAAATCTTAATTAAAAAAATAACATAAAAAATAAGTTAAGTTAACCCTAGTTAACCATTAAGCATTATTTTTGGGTTATCAGACCAGGATAATTTAATGAAAAACAAATCAAAACAAATCATAAAACTCAATTCTCAATCAAACACAATATTAATTGAAAAAATAAAAAAAAAATCAATGGAAAAAGACAAAACCTAATCCGAGTCAACTTGGATTAATTTGTTAATTACTATTTTCAAGTCATGAGATCAGGATAATCTAATGAAAAGTAAATAAAACATATTATAAAATTTAATTCTCAATTAGATTAATATTAAAACATAAAATTAAAATAATTAAAAAATCTGAACTAATTGGATTAATCTGCTAAACATATAATTCATAATATAAAAATATAATTAAATTAAAAAAATAAAAATCACTATTTCAATAAATAGTAATTTGTAAGCACACAAACTCTTTTAGGAAGAGTTAACAGTGTCCGTAAGAATTGTCTGTTTTTTCGCTTCCTTCTATAAATGTGGTCTTCCATGATGTTGAGAGGGTATTGATTTACCTAGAAGAAGCATCTTTCCGTGGAGAAGCAAGAGAAACCCAGCAGGACGGAAGGCTTAGGGGCCTGATTTACTAGCAATCTAGCATGCACGACTGCTTTGACCAAATTCCTGAGAAAATCCTCACACACGCAGAGAATTGACCGGACACGAAAAGATGTTAGTGTAGACAAGCTAGAAGGAGACCTTTATAACACAACACCACGAAAAACCCTAATTCTTTGTTATTCAATTCAGTCATTTCACCGTTCTTTAAATGAGACTGAGTCTTGCCCCCTTTTTTTTTTTTTTTTTTTTTTTTTATCTACACGGGGTTTATGAGTTAATTTATGTACACCACGATTAATTCTCATGGTTTACTGAACATTCTGCAAGTACTACAAAGTAATAGGTGTATATAATAAAGTTTGAATCCAGTTACAGGAAAAAAAAAAAAAAAACTGCTCTCACCACTGGAACTTTACTTGCCCTGTATCTTGATTGAGATTCTCGTGGTGTCGAAAAAATACAGCCCTATTATTGAACACAGAAGAAATAGGAGTAAAATCCGAGGAAAAAAAAGAGAAAAAGAGAAAAAGAAAAAAGAATAAAGAGGTTATGGTCTCCCATATGTAACTCAGTTACGTTCACTCGTTAAATTCTTTTTAAAATACCAAGGACATTTAGGTAACTTGAAGTGTCCTTAAGATGACCAAAAAGTTTCCTTTTCAGCTATAAAACAATGAATGGCAGCATGTCCGAGAAGCGGAGAGTGTGTTTGGTAGCCTTGTCTGCTCCCTCAGTTTCAAGTTTCAACTCCTTCCCCCTCTCTCTTCTCTCCAATTATTTATTTTCCTTCTCAAAGCTCAATCCTTTATTTTTGTTTTTATTTTTTTTAAATCTAAAGTCTTTCTCTAGACAGTGCAAAACCCACCCTTAAGATGCGCCACTCCTTTTCTTTCCCTTTGTTTCAAGACATGAAAGTTTATTCTTCTTTTACTCTCACTTTCTTGCCATGAACTCCTGCTTTAATTTTACAGTTTTTGTAGCTTATTGCCATGGACTTTGGGGTTCTTGGTTTGGAGGGTCTTGTGGGTCCTGAAAGTAGTAGTCATGCTCCTCCTCATGTCTCACTTCCTGAGACCAAACCAAAGTTTTTTGGATCTGTGTTAACTAAGCAAGAAAGACCATCCTCATCTGCATCTGCATCTGCTCAGGATGATTACTGGAGGGCTTCAAAGATGCCAAAACTTGATGATTTCTCTTCCACCAAAACAATGCCACTGCACCAACCCGCTCCTTTGCTGAGACCTAATTCCATGTTTTCTAATGATTCTCGCCAACAAGAGCACATGCTAAGCTTCTCTTCTCCAAAACCAGAAGCTACTTCATTTCTCGTTAAAGATGCTGGGTTGGTTGAGAGAAACACACAAAACCACACTGCCTTGAGTTTTCCTTACTACCAGCACGCACCTCTTTCCGCTAGCAGAAGTGCAGGTAAGTACATAAGTTTTTCTTTTGTTGGGGTTGAAGTTCTCATCTTTGGGTTACAATTGGCATAGAGATTTTGTTTGATGTTTGATTTTAAGAAATGGGTTTTTGGTAAATGACAGATTTTAGTTACATTCATACCTAAAATGTTGATTTTGCTATTATCCTCGTATGGCTTTGTTTCCAAGTACTGTTGATGGTCTTTTCATGGGCATTTAGTAGAAATTTCACATTTTGAGTCTTGTCAAAGGGAAAAGTTGATTTCCCCCACCCTTATAAGCCAGTTATTTTTGTTTTAGATTTGGTTAATTTTCAGTGTTAGAACATGTTAGTTACAAAAGAGGGAAAGAGCTAGAAAAATTATGAAAATCAACGGTACACAGACAAAACTTATGCAATAGTTTATTTTTTTTCCTCTATGTCAAGTTTGGAATATAATTAAGGATATACATATAGCTTCTTTGAATGTTACAGGCAAGAAATGTTTAATCTAATGTTGCAGGTTATGGCACTGGAAACTTGAATGCAAGCATGCATGGGCCTAGCCTTTTTAAAAATGAATCTCTCTTAGCTTATTTGTATGTGGTTGCTACGTTATGTGGATGCAGATATCGAGGTTTGTTTTTTATTTTAAAATTATTTTTTTAAATAAAATTTTTAATTAATATTTTTAAATATTTTCAAACCATTTTAACATGTAATATTAAAAATAAAAATATTTTTAAAAATATTTTTAAATAAAAAATACTTTTAAAATAACATCATTACATATCTTTTTAAGCTCAAACCTCTCGTACTAGAATGTTTTTGTTACTTGGAGGTTATGGTCTCCCATATGTAACTCAGTTACGTTCACTCGTTAAATTCTTTTTAAAATACCAAGGACATTTAGGTAACTTGAAGTGTCCCTAAGATGACCAAAAAATTTCCTTTTCAGCTATAAAACAATGAATGGCAGCATGTCCGAGAAGCGGAGAGTGTGTTTGGTAGCCTTGTCTGCTCCCTCAGTTTCAAGTTTCAACTCCTTCTCCCTCTCTCTTCTCTCCAATTATTTATTTTCCTTCTCAAAGCTCAGTCCTTTATTTTTGTTTTTATTTTTTTTAAATCTAAAGTCTTTCTCTAGACAGTGCAAAACCCACCCTTAAGATGCGCCACTCCTTTTCTTTCCCTTTGTTTCAAGACATGAAAGTTTATTCTTCTTTTACTCTCACTTTCTTGCCATGAACTCCTGCTTTAATTTTACAGTTTTTGTAGCTTATTGCCATGGACTTTGGGGTTCTTGGTTTGGAGGGTCTTGTGGGTCCTGAAAGTAGTAGTCATGCTCCTCCTCATGTCTCACTTCCTGAGACCAAACCAAAGTTTTTTGGATCTGTGTTAACTAAGCAAGAAAGACCATCCTCATCTGCATCTGCATCTGCTCAGGATGATTACTGGAGGGCTTCAAAGATGCCAAAACTTGATGATTTCTCTTCCACCAAAACAATGCCACTGCACCAACCCGCTCCTTTGCTGAGACCTAATTCCATGTTTTCTAATGATTCTCGCCAACAAGAGCACATGCTAAGCTTCTCTTCTCCAAAACCAGAAGCTACTCCATTTCTCGTTAAAGATGCTGGGTTGGTTGAGAGAAACACACAAAACCACACTGCCTTGAGTTTTCCTTACTACCAGCACGCACCTCTTTCCGCTAGCAGAAGTGCAGGTAAGTACATAAGTTTTTCTTTTGTTGGGGTTGAAGTTCTCATCTTTGGGTTACAATTGGCATAGAGATTTTGTTTGATGTTTGATTTTAAGAAATGGGTTTTTGGTAAATGACAGATTTTAGTTACATTCATACCTAAAATGTTGATTTTGCTATTATCCTCGTATGGCTTTGTTTCCAAGTACTGTTGATGGTCTTTTCATGGGCATTTAGTAGAAATTTCACATTTTGAGTCTTGTCAAAGGGAAAAGTTGATTTCCCCCACCCTTATAAGCCAGTTATTTTTGTTTTAGATTTGGTTAATTTTCAGTGTTAGAACATGTTAGTTACAAAAGAGGGAAAGAGCTAGAAAAATTATGAAAATCAACGGTACACAGACAAAACTTATGCAATAGTTTATTTTTTTTCCTCTATGTCAAGTTTGGAATATAATTAAGGATATACATATAGCTTCTTTGAATGTTACAGGCAAGAAATGTTTAATCTAATGTTGCAGGTTATGGCACTGGAAACTTGAATGCAAGCATGCATGGGCCTATTACTGGGGTTAGAGGACCATTTACTCCATCTCAGTGGATGGAGCTTGAACACCAGGCCTTGATCTACAAATACATCACTGCACGTGTGCCTGTGCCTTCCAATTTAATCATTCCTCTCAAGAAATCTCTCAACCCTTATGGCTTACCTTTTTCCTCTGCTGGATCATTCCCTCCCAGTTCATGTAAGCTTCTTCTGTTCCTTTGAAATAGTTAGAAGAATCAACACGTGCTATCTTTTTTTAATTTTTCTTGTGTGTGTGTTGGAGTCTTATTTTTCTTGTTTGGTACTGAGACTAATAGCCTACTTTTTTCAATTTATTATGATCTTTGAAATGATGTCAAATATATATGCACACGAATTATAAATATAAAATAATATTCTGTTTGGAGTGAAATAGTCTTTTTTTTCCTCCCCTTTTTTTGGCTGATCTATTTCATTTCACTGATTTCCTTTTGTTTTCTTTTTCATGCATCTTTCCCAATCTACATAGTGGGATGGGGCACTTTCCACCTAGGTTACCCTGGCAACAACACTGATCAGGAGCCTGGAAGGTGTCGTCGGACTGATGGCAAGAAATGGCGGTGCTCAAGGGATGCTGTAGCTGACCAAAAATATTGTGAAAGGCACATAAACAGAGGCCGCCATCGTTCAAGAAAGCCTGTGGAAGGCCAGACTGGCCATGCTGCTATTGGGACTGCCAGTTCAAAGGTGGTGCCAATGTCTAACTCCATGTCAACCTCGATTACAACCAGTGGCGCTACCTCGAACAGCATTGTGATCACACAGCAACAGTTGAAAAATTTGCAGCCGGCTGCTGCTTCGAACTCTTCTGCAGATGCTCGTGTCAACGGGTAAAAAATGTGCATTTTAGCTTCCTTTTGCTTGCTTGTTTTATTTGCCTTTTGTTATCCTTTTCAAGTTCTATAAGATGGCATTTCTCTCTAAAAGCATGTATATTCATACTCTCTTCCTTTTACTTTACCATAAAGTTGACCCCATTATTTCATCTTTACTTAGGTGACAGTGACTAGTCCTGGTAGTTGACACTTAGGATTCCTTTTTCAATGGGCTTCATTATAGCTTCCCCATTTGTGGTTGCTTTGTACATTTGGATTGAAGGCTTTTTTGTAGAAAAATATGTATTTGTGGAGGTTATGGTTCCTGTTTACATCTTGTTGATGCATTTGACTGTTAAGAAACTTTTTTCATTGAATCAGCAAATTACTAAATTATACTCATCGGTTTGGTCTTAAGAAAAGTACTGTCTTTTGCAGAGCACAAGATGCACGGAGGGTTTCTGTGATGTCTTCCACTATGAACCGGAAATCTGACGATTCTACTCTCTCTATTCCTAGACAAGATATCCTAACTGAACAGTGCTCTCAAGCAGAGCTTGGACTTGTCTCCTATGATTCCCTCCTCAACCCATCGCAGAAGAGCTCTTACTTCAACTCTAAACCCTACGAGTCTATTCTGAACTTTAGTGCTGAAGAAAGCCATGATCAGCATCCCCTTCGTCAATTCATTGATGACTGGCCGAAGGACCAATCAAATCGTTCTGTCATTAGCTGGCCAGAAGAGTTGAAATCTGACTGTACCCAACTTTCAATGTCAATCTCAATGGTCTCGTCAGACTTCTCGTCGTCGTCATCCTCACTTCTGCGAGAGAAACTTGCCTTCTCACCATTGAGGTTATCTAGCGAGTTTGACCCTATACAAATGGGTTTAAGGGTGAGCGGTGACCATAATGAAGCAAGCCAGAAGCAAGCCAACTGGATACCTATCTCATGGGGAACTTCAATTGGCGGCCCTTTAGGAGAGGTCTTGACCACCAGCGCCAGCCATGCGGATTCCTGCAAAAGCTCATCAGCTCTAGACCTTTTAAGGGAGGGTTGGGATGGCAGTCCGCAGCTGGGATCTTCTCCAACAGGAGTCTTGCAGAAATCGACTTTTGGTTCACTTTCAAATAGCAGTTCAGGTAGCAGCCCAAGAGCAGAGAGCAAGAAAAACAATGAAAGTGCTAGTCTGTACGAGGAAGCGGTTGGTTCGATAATTGCAAGTGATCCCCTATTCCATCCCTGTAATCAAGAAAATGGTTAGGATGAAACTTGTGAAGAAGAAGCTTGGAGTTATCTATCTTATTAATTTCTGCAGACTGTTTCTCCTTGTTGCTTGTTTTTTCCCCTCAAATCTAGAATGTAAAGGCTTGGCTGATTCCCAATTGAATAGGTATCGGCCATTCTTGCATGTATGGATCTGTAGGGATCTTTAATGTGTGAATTAAAGTAATTTTTCTCCTGCTTTGTTTGAGTTGAATGTCATATTTTCCCATGGTTTCAACCTTCTAAATTTGCTGCATCTCTGTGAAATACAAGTATATAACCCCATCATTCACGCAAGCTTACAATACATTATCAGATTGGGTCAGGAGATGCATGTTTCAATGATAGGATGTTGAATAGGAGAAAAATAATGGAGAAGAGGGAAACCGGGGGAATGGTACATGAGGCAAGACATCAAAACAGTGGGGATAGAAGAGTCAAGATGATGATGATGAATCATCCTCCATAGCAAAAGCAAAATATAATACTTAAACTTCAAAAATACATATCGATCATTGATTCTTTGTAGGCCAGTATGTGATATGCACTGTCCTATCCATTCCAGACCCAGTTCTTCAAGGATATGTACGTAAAAGAAATCACTATTGAACATTGAGATGGAGTTCCCTGGACTCCAGACAGGAGCAACTCTTGAGGCCTGCCCACCCGGCAGACCCCGCAAGTTCCTTGGGTGGTGTTTGAAAAAAGCTGATTTTTCTTTTTTCTTTTTTAATTTTAAATTATTATTTTTATTTATTTTCTCAGCAGCTCTGGCCCAGCCACTGCCTAATTTCACAATTTCCGTCCCAGCCTCCCCCCTGGCTTGACATCAGTGTAGATTTTTCGAAGGGCTGGGACCCCGATTCTGATGAAAATTTGTTGAGACCGGACCTGTGTTGAGGCTCCTCCTTGCCAAATTATTATTGTGTGGACATGAACTTAGCTGTATCCAGATATGTAAGGGAAGAAATTATTTATCAGTTCAGGACATCTGGAATTAGTTGAATTATTCATCAGTTCAGGACATCTGGAATTAGTTGAGTGCATTAAAATTTAATAATAAAAATAAAATTATCTATCTGCTGGGATATCAGTTGGCATTGCCTGGTGCTTGGGAAAAACACAAACAGTCGACCTCGTTTTTGAAACCCAAATCGGTGTATATCAGAAGTAATTTTCAGGTAACGGATCAGAGGGATTGATTTAAATCAATTTAATTTTCTTTATTTTATAAAATACGAAAAAATCACCTCATTTTGAAAACAGAATTCAATAGATTTTGACAGATTTTATTGGGTTCTTTCAGGGGTGACTCTGGGTTGCCCCATATCACTTAAGTTACGAGCTAACCCACGAAGTCAAATTAGTTTTTAAAGCTGTGCTTGGCGCAAAACCAGTATTCTAGTTGCTGGGTAACCTATTTACCAACAAATTCATCAGATTCAAGAAAGAAACTCTCTCGCAAAATCAAGCACAGTACTGTCCAGTGTGCGCTCATGTGCTGGAATGCACCCACCCTAGGACTTCAAACTATCAAGTAATTCTAATAATTAAACTTCCAAAACTGAGGACATGTATGGATTATGATTATGTAATAAAGCAAACCG